ACAGTTGTAGCCACAAACTACCAAAAAGGAAACCTCAAATTAAAAACCAGCTTTAAAAACAACTCCATTCCCAAGGGCAGACAAGCCACCTACTGAGCAGCCCTCCAGAGAGTAAATCTCAGCTGTAAAACATCACACACCACAGTACTACCCAGCTAGTAAAAACAAACACACACCCCCAACAAAACCCAGCCAAACTTTACAAACAGGATACAAACGGATTTCCTCTTGCAATAAGGATAATAGATAAAAAGGTAAGGAATACACTGCAGTATGGTTACAGGGAGGTTGTTCTTCCCCTCTGCCTGGTGCCTTCACTCCACCAGCTCTTGCTCTGAGCTTGTGCTCAGTTCTCCCAGATGTGCTCCCTTCTTGCAGGTAGAGAACTTCCCTTTGTCTGTGCACAACAGGGTCCCAGGGAGCAGGTGAGGACAGAGCTCACTCTCCTCTTGCTGCTCCACTCCTGTGGTGGCTATTCCACACCACTAAGCTGGTTACAAGTGCTCTGTGAGTTCAGGAAGTTTCTATCTCAGAGGCCTCATCTATGAAGTTAGCAACAGGACTGAGGAGCAGGAGTGGAAACAGTTTATACTCTCCGTTCCCATCTTCTGGGAGGAGAGGCGGATCGCCCATTCCCAGACTGTCCAGAGGATCGGCCTGGGCTGCTGGAGCTGCAAGCGGCACGACGGTCCCACTGCCTGACGGGGGCTGGAGAGCAGGTTTCTCCTCCAGGGGAGGCAGCAGAAAGTCTTTGGGATCCTCCACCTTCCCTGTAGCTTCACCTGAAGGCAGTTCTTCAAACAAGGAGAGCAGAGGGTTGGCCCTGTACTGGATCAGCTGCATATCTGAGGGAAAACAAACAGTTCAAACTGTAGAACCAGTCGAAGGCTCTTAAGTCAAGGCAAGGAAACCTGCAGAGGCTGCAGCAGCCTCTAAAGTGACAGCTTGGTGTTTGCCTGTGGTGCCCCAAGGTTGCTGCAGGGAAACACCAAGCTGGGCTGGGGCTGCCAGTGCAGCCAAGGCCTGTGCCTGCAGGCACCACCCGAGACCTGCCACAGGGACACCTGCACTTCTGCTCCCTGATGTGGCACCTGTGCCCCTTTCTCTGCCAGGAGGAAATGGCCAACACTACCACAGGGCACAGGACTCTAGGGCAGGGAAACATCCCAGTTCTCACAGGTATTTTAAGACCAGAGAAGGAGACAAACCATATTACAGGCTGCAACAACTCCACCTCAACACACAGATACAGAAGTGTCTGGAGCCTCCACAGAGCTCAGGGTTCCTTCCTGCCCACCTTTGCTTCCTGCTGTTTCCCTCTCACTCGCTCCCAGACCTTCAGTGCTCTCTGCCAAGTTTGTCATCTGAAACAAAGCAGAGCGTGAAGACAGAATGTTTAACAACAACAAGATCAGTCCTGACTGACTGGTTAACAGAATTGGAGGTGAGAGGAGGAGGGAAGAGGCGGAGCAGCTGAGCAATAAGCCTCTTGTGGTACACAAGGACCTGCATACAGGAGCTCTCAGAGGGAGGCACAGCGAAATACAGACAAACTTAACTTACTGAACCAAACAAGCTTCTGGCTAGCAAATATTTTACCTTCCAAACCAGAAGTTTTATTATAATTTGTCTGGTTGGGACGACAGTTAAACACGATTACACCACTGTAAGTACATTTTGCAGGCACTGCTTAAACACAGTTGCGTTTCACAGCAGTTGTAGTCTAAGCTCTTTGACTGGGAAGTCCTGGTTTAAATATTATTTCAGGACTACAAACAAAATTACATGTGCAGGCGTTCTTTTTTTACAGTATGAGTCAATTTCAGGAACTGGACCAAGAGAAGTTTGTGCTGAACTTCTGTCTGTTCTTTGAGGAAATCCCATACAGCCACGTTCAGAACTAACACCGTGCACTGCATCACAACTTTGATTTAGTACTGGTCCTTCAGTCCTCAGACAGGCTGAAGACTCACAATCTCACCTGAACTACAACCCCAGACCTAGCTGTTACTTGGCTGTAAGACACCACGGGAGTCCTCGGGGCTAGGAGAAACAAGCCATGGAACTGTTTCACACACTTAGACCAGAAAAAGACAACATTTTATAACATCCTCATTCTAAAGAGAAGGTGCAGAAGGAACAGGTGGGAATAAAAAAGTTCTTCACTACAGACAGCTGATCCAACAACGCACCAGGTGGCTTCCCTCGTCCTGATGTCCAGAGAGCACAGAACATGCTCTGCAAAGCCAAGGGGCAGTTTAACCAGCCCTCAGGGCAGGACTGGGAATTCTGAGATCCCTCTTGAATCCCTGCATGCCAACAGTGCTGACGGAGCCCCTGGGGACAGCGGGAGGAGAGGAACAGGCAGTCCCAGGCTGTGCCATCGGCCGCGTTGCACCGTGCAGGGCTCCCCTCCCCACCACAGGAGCAAATCTTACTCTTACATTTTCCATACCAGGGGGAGTCTCCATCAAGCTCACGTCCAGGGCTGGCAGCTCGGGGTTGAATGTCTGAAAATTAAACCAGAGGGTAAATCTGACACGGAGCTGCCCTCGCTGCCCAGGGCTGTGGGGCAGAGTCGCCTGGCCCCACTGCAGCCACCAAACGAGCTGAGGGAGGAGAACAGGTCACCACGCTGCCCAGTGACTCCAGGAACACAGCCAGAGTCATTCTGTATCACAGCGATCACCAAACACAAAGTCAGGGTGTGACGAGATGTGACCTGCTCTCGAGTTACACAGAACTCCTGCATGACCCAGGAAAGGCTCCCACCCTTACCCTGTACACTGGGAATGCCTAAGAACCACTCCATCTGTAACTATTTGCTTTTCAGGATGTTCCCCCTCTCACCCATTGCAACATGGAGTAAACCAGTAACATCTCATGATGCAACCTGAGCTGTACTCCTCAGAACCAGAGGAGACACTCACATCGCTGAACGCTTCGGCCCCGAAGCTGTACTGCTTCCCAGACAGCATTGCCTGGAGCTCCTCAAGGCTGGCATCGATGCAGTTCAGGAAATCCTGGATTTCTTCCCTGAAAAGACAAAATGCCATCATCCTGTCAGGCACAGCTGGCAGGCAGGGCCTTGCTTTGCCCCGCAAAGCAGTGCTCATGATCCAGAACAGCCCAACAGATGCAACCACACACCTGTATCACCTGTCAGTGCTGTAAGGCACAGGTACAGGGGAGACTACCTGAACAGCAAGCACATCAACAGCTGTTGGATCAACAAGCAGTTCCTTCTCCTTCCACACCTACCTCCTCCCTCACTTTAGCATGTTCTCAGACCACAGCCTGCATACCGACATGTTTAAACTAAGGTCCAGTGGCTTTGTTCCTCCTTCTGGAGACCATAAATGAGAAACAAAGGGCTGGAAATAATGTGGACCTGAAGGAACTCTGCCTACTTTGAACCATCAGCCTGTTGCCAAATCAGACCTGTTTCCAGGGACAGTAAAGGAAATGGAAAGGCAACTACAGGCACAGCACCCGTTCCGAGTGCCTCACCCTGCCGTGAGCTGATCCTGTACCGAATCCCAAGCTCCGAGGAACGGGCGGACTGGGAAGCACTGCCCCACACCCTGCAGAGCCCAGGAGGGAAGGTACCACAGGGCTGAGTGCTGGGACACACTGCAGCCCTTCCCTGCCCATGGCAGAAGAGCTGCAGGAGTGAGCACTGCAGCTTGTTCCTCGATCCAGCTCTCCTCAGCCAGTGCCGGAGTGGAGCCGGGAGGGGAACCCACAGCCGGCAGCCCTGATCCAGGGGTATCTGACCTGGCAGGACATGTGGGAAACACCCTCGTACAACTGAGGGGCGGAGAAAGGAAGGAACAGGGAGCTGACATCTGCTGGCCACTGGGCAAGCCACATCCAGATGCCAGGAACAAAGTGCCGGCCCGAAGTCACTGCCTCTCACCTGCTGCCTGGCAGCACCTGGCAGTGCCAGCAGTGGGCTGACAGGACAGACTGACACACCAGCAGTCAGGCACACTTGTTACCACAGTGGTGACAGGGGAACTTGCTCCTTTTCAGTGTGTGGTGTCAACAGCTGACCTTTTCAAGCCCTGCTTCCAAATGGGCAGACAACTCAGCTCATCAACGACAACTCCAGAGCTAATTCCCCGTATTCTGCCAAACATACCCTCCAACACTGACAAGATCCCACAACAGCATAACAGGCTTCAGAAACAAGGTAATACCTGTCCAGCAAAGGATCATTTTGGCTCCCAGAGCTGTTCTCATTCAGGATGGAGTCAATCACTGACACAGGGTCTTCTGGAGCACTGGGCTGTGCAGTGTGGAGCTCCACAGCAGCACTGCCGACTTCGCTGGACTTGCTGGCATCACTTGCAGGAACTGGTGGGACAGGCTCTGCACAGTTCAGCTCACCTGGCTGTGATATTTGGCAGACAGGCAAGCCAGGATCCAGAACTGCCTGTGGCTCTCTACAATGGGACCCAAACAGAAACAACACACCTGAGAATTCACCGACTGCACTACTACTCATTTCAGGCTGAGTATCCAAAATCTTCATGCCTAATAAGGTCAAGCCAGCTGAGGGTTCAAACAGCAAACTGGTCTTTAGAAAAAGCAGCCAAGTGCCTTTCTAAAGGCAGGTGAACAATCTCTTATTTCAGCTTACAGAGAGAGCACATATCAGAGCAGAACACCCCATTTTCCCAGGCTAAAAGCAGCAATATAGTACATGGAAATTAAGCAGAAGGGAAAATCCTGACAGACTCTGGAAGTAAAATATTCCAAACTGGTTCATGTGTGTTCACCGCTAAGTGGCTTTTTACTAGAACCTGCTGCCACACAGAGAATGCCTTCCCTGGGCTCTGCTCAGTGAGAGCAGTACTGAAACTGGAGACAAAAGTGTACATCTCGATCTGTTTATCAGTAACCTATACACATTTTGGACTGTTTATTAGTAACCCATACATGCATTCAGGTCCTTGTTCAGCCAAAAAGTCCAGTATGTGCTTATTTGTTGGACAGCCAAGCCTCAGTGGATCAAACCTGCAGTGCCCACAGCCTGACAGGTCTCCAGAGACACGAGCTCTGACCATGAGTGGCGCTCTGTGCTGTAACAAGGAGCCGACACAGGCCTGCCCTGCACAGATGGGGGAATGTGGGAGAGGCAGTTTCTCAGAGTCTGCAGGGATGGCTCACACCAAGGAGGCTGAGCTAAGAGCCCAGGCACACACCTGGCCCTGCTGCTCGCGTGTGCCACGGCCAGGAGGCCGTCGGTGGCGCTCTCCAGGGTGTCCGTGATGTCTCGGATGATGAGACCTGTGCCTCCATCCTCTTCATCTGCACCGCGCTCAGAAAACGCCATCTGCAGACACAGCACAGAATCAGTCAGCCACAGGCTCTGACCTCTCCTCCGGTGTTGAAGCCCCGTTCTTCCTGCAGCTTCTCTTTCTCATTCAGGTTTCATCTGAGACCAGCTGTACTGACTGGCACTTTACAGTCACAGCACTGCTCTAAGGCTGCCTGCTGAGAAGGGAGAGCCTTTGGTGACAAGATTGGGCTGTTCACAGCTGTAAACAAGCCTGACAGCACTGTGCACCATCGTGCTCAACCCACTGCCTCTTCCCCTGGGGACACTTACAGCTTGGCCACTCTCCACAGGTATCCGGACGTACTGACGGCTGTACTTGGAGGGCGAAGCACCTGCAGCATCCGTGAGAGACCTGGGACAGAGCAGCAGCTTGAGCACCTGGTTAGTGCCACAGGGAGGAGCTGCAGCAGTGCCACGTTCACGCAGCCATAGCAAGGACAGCCAGTCTCAGCCCGAGAGCCTGGCTGGGGGAACCGGGGGAAGGGGAGCCTGGCTGGGGGGAAGGGGAGCCCGGCAGGTAGCACTGCGCACACACTGGTACGGAACACACTCTGAGCTACCACTGCTGATAATTGTGCCCTGGGGAACTGAAAATGGATTGAATATTCGCTCCCCACCCATTTTTAAGTGATAAAGGGGAGATCTTTATTTTGTGCTTGACTCAGCTTCCATCACAAGTGATAAAAAAACATCCTTCACACACCAGAAGCTGATTTATCCCTATAATCCACACCCAACACTGATCTGGGACCTATCAAGTAATTACCTTTTCCTTTTGACCCCAACAATATAATTTCCTCGCATCAAACTTAGTATAAATTGAAGAATCTAAAAAGAAAAACAAGAAAAAGCAGAAACAAGAGGTTAGCACAGCAATCCTAGAATCAAATTATTCATTCAGATCTTACTGCAAAATGATGTAGTTATGTGATTGAAATTCACAAGTCAGTTATTAAATCAGTATATTCAAAACAAGAGTTACAAACTGCAGTGAAAAATTATCCCACTTGCACCATTGGGATGTTTTGAAAGGCAATAGAACAGCACAAGTCACTACAGGATTCCAGACCAGAAGCAGCTGAGGGATAAACCAGAGAAAACGTGTTCCAGTGCAGAAGGTCCTACAGTTTCTGGGCTCCAAGTTCACTCCTTGAGTGGTCTAAGTGTGTCCTGGTCCAAGATCTTTCAGACTCCGTTTCCCATGTGCCTGCAATCTCTGCCTCCACACACTGCCATCCTACTATGACTTCTCCTTAGTGTTTTGCTCGTGGTTCTTTACTGTGCTACTTCTGGGACACTCAGGAACTGGGCACACTTCCTTTATGCTGCATTAATACAGCCTGTTCAGCTCTGTGTCATTTGTCATTCTACATAAGCAAAGAATGCCATGAAGTTTCACAGAGGCAGGAATAAGGATGGTAGCACTGAAGATGCTGCAATGGTACCTTAGACAGCAGCTTCTGTTGTTGACTGTGCTTCTGCCTTAGAACTGCCACTTCTTTCCACAGGGCCTTATTTTCTCTGCAATGCAGAATAAATCAGAAGACAGAGAATGAACAGAGTTTACTTTATATGCTCTAGTTTTACAGCTTTCAAACTTTCACAACACCTTTCAGGACCAATGGCAACATTCCCTCTGTGGGTAACTAACCCTCTGTTAACTCAATCCACTAGCATAAACTCTGGGTTAGCTTCACTCCATTTTTCATCAGGCAGGACCAAAACACTCACTCAGCAGGGACACCCTCATCCTCTGCTGCTCCACCAAAAAGCTTGATCTGAGGTACTCCTTCAAAGCCTCAAAGCTGCCCAATAAAGACTTTGTGTTACTCTCAGCCTGTTTCCAAACACTGACAGCCTCAGGACAGGTTCCGAGGCGGTGCTCAAGGGGATTGGGGTTTTTGGCAACAGTGGGAGAGCAGGTATCTCCTGAACTCTGACCGATGCCTGCTGCCACACCAATGACCTCAGAGCGTTACCAGTGCCTACATGAAGAGGATCTATGGGAACAGATATGAAGACAGACAAACTCCACTGCCAATTAGAAAGAAAACCAAACCCTAAGTGTCCCTCACTGCACCTAACCCTGTTTGGGTTCAGAGAAGGAAATGCTTTGATTGCCCTAAAAAACTCCTACAGGTGCTGGCAACCAAAGTGGAATCTCAAAACAAACAACTCCCAGTCTTAATCTCTGGTCTGTAACTGAATGAGAAAAACCAACACGGTTCAGAATGCTGTGTGGGGCGGGATGGGGATTCTTAGGAAAAAACATAGCTTCACCTGTTTCCAGTTCAAATGAAACCCACATTTAGCCAAGCTCCATCAGACATAAGCCACATTCAATGCACAAGTGCCTCTGACACAGCCGAGTCTACCTCTTCATGTTAGCCAGCCTGACGTCCATGTTGTTCTGCTGCTCCCTCATCTCCTGCACCTCGGACAGGACTTTGTGCAGATCCTCCGTGCAGACCTTGAGATCCTCAGTTCTCACTGCAGACACCTTAAAGAGATGCACATGCTTTACCACAAGCAGTGCCCTGCAGACTCCTCGCTGCAGGAGGAGTGCAGTCAGCGACAAACTTGCCAGAGCCCAGGTGACACTGCAGTCCTTGCACACCACAAACAGCATGACTGCTGCAGGTGACAGTCCTTGGGACAGTCTGCACCGCATGGAAAAAACAAGGTGTCAATGGAAACACGAGGTTAGCACGTTGTACCTGGAGGCAGCAGATTCATGACTGTGATTCATGGTAAAAACCACTGAGTGCAAAGGGCTTTCCCTGGGGCTCTCTCCAGGCCTGGTGACAGCTTGCCCTCTAGTGTCACAGAGCAAACAGAGCCAAAACCAAAACACAGCTGACAGTGCGGGAAGAACAAGGTGACCACATTTCCTTCTAGGTGTGGGTAAATCTGCCAGCAGAGGAGTAACAAATTTCCACTAAGTTACTGGGGGATGGAGGTGTCTAGTTAGATGCATCCTACTCCATCTGGAAATATGTCCCACGCCAGCTGAACTGCAGATTCCTATACTGGTGTTTCCCCTATTACCTCTCTGCTTAGTGACATTCCAAAGCTACAGAGACTTGTCTCTGGAAAGAACAGTCCAAACTGCTCTTCTGCCCACAGCAAAATCCATGAATGCTGCAGCTTCAAGTGATGGTGGAAGAGCCATCCGAGAGCAGAAAGCTCACCATCTCCCTCCTGCACTCCCACACTGAACATCTCCCAGCTCCTTCAGCAGCTCTCTCTGCAGCAGGAGCACTGCTGGCTATGACACAGTTCTGGACTTTGCAAAACACAGGCCTGGTGCCGCGCAGCTCTGAGCCACACGTCCAGGTCTCCTGGGCAGAAGGTGAGTGAACCCAGTGGAGTCACACCAGATGTCCTTCCTGACCTCCAGTGTGCTGGGATTGTCCTTCTCATACTACTGAATGCCAAGTGGGAGGTGAAAACACCTGGGATTGGCCTGCTGAGGTGTGAGTGAACTCCCATGCAGGTTAGCTCACAGATCCCTGTCTTCTGAAGGGGAATGGGACAGTCAGAAACGAACCTGTGGTGCTATAAATCATCCGTTCCAGCTGGAACAGAACACAGGTCTTGTACAATCCCCTCAGGCATGACTACTTTCTGAACACAACCCTACGGCGCAAAGGATGGACTGAAGGGTCTGACAGTTCTCCCTGTCTGCAGCTCAGACACTTGGCTGTTCATTGCAGGTAATAAGTTATGCTGAGGCAAACAGGGTGCGTCCCAACTGGAATTCATGGCTGTCTGATTTTCAGATAACCACCTGTCCGAGGGGAAGACACATCAACGATGCAGGCAGCGGGTGGAAGTTTCAAGTGAAGCCAGCCAGGCTCTAAAAAAAGGGCCAAACTAAAACATTCTGCCCTAGTGCAAGGGACTACTCTATGCAGAGTCCACAGCTGGCTAACAGGATGCCCAGACCCTGGGTGATGAGGCCTTGGCACAGGCTGCCCAGAGCAGCTGTGGCTGCTCCATCCCTGGGAGTGTTCCAGGCCAGGCTGGATGGGGCTTGGAGCACCCTGGGCTGGTGGGAGGTGTCCCTGCCCATGGCAGGGGGTCGCACGGGATGAGCTTTAAGGTCTGTCCCAACTCAAATCCTTCTGGGATTCTGTGAAGACACACAGGGTCCCTGCACACCAGCAGAGCTAACAGTGACAAGGCACAGGTAAAGCAAGTCCTGCGTTCAAACCTGCATTCCCTACAGAGGCTTGAAATCCAGTTTATAGCCAATCTTGGCACACGGCTCCATGCCAGGCAGTAAAGGAGCAAGAAAGCTAATGCCTACTCTGCAAAGAAATCACTACCGTTTCCTGTGCAACAACGATTATGTCTGACCAACCCACCCCGCACTGTGTGTGGGTGTCCTTGGCACTGGGCAGAGCCCTCGGCGCGGCAGCTGCCCGGCCCCGGATCGATCCAAACGCGATCAGCGGGCGCTGCCGCCTGCCGACGGCCCCGGGCAAAGGCTCTGCCGCTCAGGCGCCAGCCTGACGGATCACCACTCCCTCCTCCGCAGGATGTTATGGGCTGCAATGTGCCAAGAGAGAGTATCTGTGCAGGAACAGGTCAGGCAAGGCCTGGATGTGCAGGAGAAAACCAGAAACTGCTCATAAAGATGCAGCTTAGTGGCAACATTTTTGGAGGAGCAATATAATGAGCTGATTACTGATGCCCCTGCTAATTTTCAGTGAGTGCCAAATGGGAATGTATTTTCTCTTGCTTCTTTCATTCTGTGCCTCTCCCTGAGGTGGAGATGCTGACAGAACTGCAGCCCCTGCTGAGCTGCAATCAGGGACACAAGCTCTGTGGAGAAGGGGTCTGGTTTGATGGTGCTGCAGAACGCAGTCCTGCCCCAGTGGACTGCCAAGCACAGGGCAGGTTCTGTCCGGGCCCTGGCATGAGCAGGCCCAGCCAAGCCCCAGCCTGGTGCTGTGGGGAGTTACCAGGGCTTGCATCAGGATGTACAACTGTGGTTCCCATGGAACTGGCTGGTTGTGTTTGAAACACCCAGACCTGCTCTTGCCAAGCCACTTTTCACAGCAAAGCGAAGTAAACGTGTGCTTAGACTGTACCTTGCGCTTGATGTTTTCCAGCAAATGTGCCTTCCCCTGCTTGAAGAAAGGGTGCTGGAACTCAATGACTGAGCTCTTTTCTGCTGTAATGATACCATTCTCCAGAGCAATCACCTTCCTGAAGCCATCTGTGGAGAGGAATCGACAAAGGCATTTCTTCCAGTGCCACACTGACTGTTAAAGCATACAGCTAGAGAAAACTCTAAGGCTACCACTTACACACAGCACTGCAGTTACTGGGAGCAGGAGCTGTGAAAAACAGCCGAAGCAGCTTTTCCTGGTCCTCAGCAATTGCACTGCTCCCATCGTCACAGCTAGAGAACACACACACCCACAGTAGCATCGAATGCCCTCGCGGGCTGGATGCACAGCTGCATGGCAGAGGCCAGAGAGTGCCCACAGGCAGGGTAGCCACATCCCAACCATCACAGCGCTTGGTTAGAAATGAGATTTACTATGACATCTAGACTAGAATCTTGTCCCAGTGGAAGCAGAGGAACGGTGCACCTTCCCTTTCACCCCGACACACCAAAACAAATGCTGTCAGGTACCACCATGGGCTGCAGAGTAAAGGAAGGCAGAGAAGTGAGTTCCCTGCCTGTGCATACACCTGCAGCAGAGCACCTTGCCCATACCAGGCTGCCTGCACCCAGTAAGACATTGCCAGCTCCACTTCCATCGCTGCCCAACACCATAGGGTAGATACAGGGTAGACACAGCTGGCATAACAATCCACGTCTCTCCTTGCTCAAGCTTTTAACACAGTGAACACGCTCCAGCCTCACTGTGGTTAAAGAGCCAGGACAGGCCCAGAGGAGGAGGAACCGCTGCGCTGCATGTCTTCACAGGGATATTTGTATTTTCACATCTACTCTAGCTACAAGGGAAGTGACAATTGTTTCTTCGCATTATCTTTTGCCACTCAAGTGATGGGGTCCCACACACAGCAGCACCTGACACAAACAGCAGCGTCCACCCTCTGTCCAGAAGGCTCAACGTGTGTGCTTGCTCTTGTGTCTGACAAAATCTGTACAGCTATCAGCTGGAGAGACAGGCAAACCTACCGGGCACAGCCATAGAGCTCCTCCCCCTCACTCACAGTGAACCTTCTGAGCAGCCTGCAGCTATTCTCTCAGGAGTTGTCTGCAGCTATTCGCAGCCTGTGTCACCCCCTCCCTTCACTCCTGTGCCTGCCCACACCGCACTGTGTCCCTCAGTCACCCCGTCCCTGCACCCCTGTGCCTGCCCACACTGCACTGTGTCCCTCAGTCACCCCCTCCCTGCACCCTTGTGCCATACAACAGTGCCTTATGACTCTCACAAGTCGAGCACAGCAAACCTAAGGAGAACTCAAGTCCAGCTGGGCCTACCAGCAGGACTGACCAGGTTTCAGCACAGCAGTGCAGGCAGGAGCAGCGGCAGCCCCAAAACCCCGGCCATTTTGTCACACCCCAGGTGCACACACAGCCTCTGCTCCCCTGGGTACACACGGCTTCACTGTAACACTAGCAGCACCACTGGGGCCCAGGGAGCCCCACCCAAGCTTTAGTCATCAGCACGCATTCCTACAGCTCTAAAGGACTTGGAGCTGAAACACAAACACCAACGACTAAGCCAAGCTCTACTACCATCAGTCTCTCCCTGCAAAGCAAACTGAGGGCCAGAACTCAGGTTTTCCGTGAGGAAAGACTTGCCAAGTCCATTCGCTGGTTTAAGGACATTGAAACCAAAGCCAAGTCGTGATGAGCTTGGCAGACAGGACACAGAGGAACAGCTGATGCTTACACATGTTGAGCTGCCGTATGAAGCTGGAGATGTTGTTGTGCTTGAAGTACTTGGGGAGCAGCTCCTTGGCAAACCTCTGCTCATCCAGAATGCTGAAATTCTCGCCATTCTAGGGAACAAGCAAGGGAGACAGTTAGGGAACAGGCACAGTTTTCTAAGGTGTTGGTCTGGAGTGAAGACAGAGGCAGCAGCAAAGACAGCCATGACAGCAGGGAACTGTGGCAGTGCTTAGGACTGGACTAAGAAGTCTGAATCCAAAGAGTTACATGGCACACTCCTATTGAACAGCAGATTTTCTTCAAGCCCTGAAGCTTTGATCTCATCCTAAAGCAAAACTGCTCTAAAAACCTGCTCTCTTTGCCAGCAGGAAACATAAGCATTGCTGGAGCACAATGGAATTCAGGCCACTGGAGAGATTTCATCTCCCTGCATCAGCCTGCCCAGCCCCTGACATGATTCTTCCATTCTATGTGCTATGTCATCACTAAAAATAACCAAGTCTCGTTGCCGAGTTACTGCGAGTTCAGACAACAGCCCGGCGGCGACCGGGGGTACGTGTGGCAACAGCGGCCCCAGGTCCATCATGTGCCAGCATCAAACTTCCAGGGAGCGGGAGGGTTTCCTGGGAGCAGGAAAACGAAAACACCGCGTTTCTCTGCGTCTTCGCCTTTGCAAAGGGCAAACCGCTGGGGGAAAATCCTACGGATTTAAGCATGACGGGGCAAAAATAACCACGGAGCTCGTCCCGGGCGCCCGGGCCGGCCCGCAGAGCTCGCCCTCCCGCGCTCCGCTGGAAACA